TTTCAGGATGAACAGCCTAACTCTTTCAGCCTGTTTTCAAAGGGGAAGTGCTCCAGTCACCCTGATCATCTTTGTGGTCCTTCTCTGAACTTTCTCCAAAGGTCCATGTCCTTCACATGTTGGAGGCCCAGAGCTGAACACAGTACTCCAGGTGGATTCTCATGAGAGCAGAGTAGAGGGGTAGAATCACCTTCCTTAACCTGTTTGCCATACTTCAGCAGACAAACTTCATTATGCAGAGAAAGAAGAAAATGTCTAATACTAAAATAAGCTTCAGGGTCATAAAGAACTTCTTAAAAATGAAAAATAATTTTTGTCGAAACACACCCCTCCCTAAAAAAATCAGTCATAAATACTAGAAGGAATGTATTTTCCAATGCCATTTACCCTCATCAGGCATTCTGTTGGTGGAAAGGTTACGACATCCTGTAGTATCTAACTTCTTTTTATCTCTTTTCTTTGGTTCATTGAACAAATCAAGCTCCTTACATCGTACCTCATGGACTTCATCTCCCACACGTCAATCACTTTTGTGCCCTGCTCTTTTGTTCCCTCTGCAGTGTATGTGTATCATTCATGAAGTGCTGAATACAGAAGCAGATGGTAGTTTTTCTGAAGTCGCACACAGAAATTAAATCACCTCTTCATCTATTCTTCCCAGGCATCCAAGTACTGGACAGGTCTTTATGGCCTCAGCATTGAGCTGAGAGCCTAGAGTATGCTAATTATTGTAACAATCTCAACATTCTTTGAGTGCCTTCATTCCTCATCTCCTACCCTCTAGCTAGAGTCTATATTATTTCTTGCTAGAGGCTGGACTCAGCATTTTGCTGTGTTGAAATATGGCTTTTTCTTGAGTCTTGGTTATTCCACAGAATGATTCAACATCTCTCCACAGTGGAATGCCTTTTGCTTTTCATTTTGTATAGCTCTGCCTAACCATTTAGCTGTGCCAGGAACAAATATGCACCACTATCAAGACTGTTAGTAAAAAATATCAAGGTAGGATCAGAAAAGTGGCTCATAGAAATTTCAACACTATGAATAGCTTCAGGTTTTATTTTTGTCCTTTTAATTCCAGATAATGTAAATTTTAATATCATAGCACTATTTTTAAATTCCCTTTCTCTCTTATGTGCTAATATTTATGAATATATTTTTTTGTTCAGAATGTTGGCTACCCGCTGTGCCACAGACCAGTAAATAATTACCCAAAGTCTCATTAGTTGAAAGAAAACATGCCTGGACATACAGTAAAAAATATTTTGGGCATAGCAGAGTGAGATAAAAGAATGAGAGAACAATATGAACAGGAAAATAAAGTCCTGCAATCTTTCTGCTTTACAGCATCTGTACTCCTGAGCACAAAAATAATACAAAGGTTTTGAAAAGTTTCTGTGAGAAAGCCAAGGGCTATGTCAAGCACAGAAAAGCACATTTTTTTTTCGAGAAAGTTTAAGGGATTTCCAGACTTCTACAGTATCTCAGCAAAACAATTACCCTGTTCCTCCTCATATAAAAATAGGTATTGTTTGAGGAAATCAGAAACAAATTGTGCTAACACTGGTAGGTACCACTCATGGTCTTCGGGACCTTTTAAAGTAGTGCCATTTAGCACCCAAGTTCTTGTTATCTGTGATTTCCAAAGGAATGTTTTAGGCAATTTCTCAATTGTTTCAAGAAGCCTTCTCTCAAATACCATACAAAACTAGTCCATTACCACTTCTGTGGAATATTTTCATAGGGCCATGTGGTGAGTTAATGAGGAGAAATAGATTCTGCCCATATCAGACAAAAACTTTTTTTGTTTCATCTGATTTGAATTGTGCATGTATCAGAAACATATCAAATGTATGCCAAAAAATTCATAAGAGCTCTTTTGGAGAAGGGCTACCTGGCTGTCCTCCTACCCAGGTAATGATACAGCAAAATGAAAAGCATTGCGAAGTTTTGTTTGGTATCTCACTAAAGAGAAGAGAAAGCATTGTATGTTACTATGTTTCACTCTTGGACCCATTCTAACAGTTCAGGACACTCCAAGAATGGCTGAAGTGAAAATGCTTTTACCCATCTGTGCTTGACAAAAAGAGGATATAACTTTTCTTCCAGATACAGATCAGATTACACTTGCCTGTAACATTTTCACCTAAAAGCTAGAATGCTGTAATGTACTTTACATGGAGAGAATTTGCAGACCATATGGAAACTAGGGTTAGTGAAAATATATCTGTGCAAGTGTTAAATGGAACTCCTGCATGGAGCATGGCTTAGCTTAAATATGTGACCTACACATATTGCATGTTTGTTTCCAATTAGATTCTATACGGACAACTTTAACCTTTGCAACTTCTGTTCTCTGAGGCATTGAAAGAACCTCAGCTGATGAACCACAGTACTCTTACACACACACATGCACAAGAGCACTAGAGAGAGCTTCAGGTAAATTCAAACAAACAAACACACAACATCAAGGGTGCCTGAAGGTATTAGGATTTTAGCACAATCTGATAAGGGAAAGGCTTCACACCATATGTAGGTTTTAAAGACAGCAAGAGCAAGGCAGGTGTTTTTATGTTTCAAGCTCGAATAATCAGAATGATGCACTTTAGATAATTCAACAGCTACTTTTGTGGTAATCAATTTGCAAAAGACAGCAACTTCACACTGGATTAAATAAAGTTTATTTGCTCCTTTTTAATTTTCATAACTAAAACCTTTACACATGAAGCAACAAATTAAACTATTCCATATAAAACTCAATCTAACTATTGCTTGACAGTAAAAATCAAGTTTAAATTATCAAAGCCCTGTAGGAACTCTGTGTGCTCTCATACCTTGAATCACACCACTAAAATCCTCTGTTTTGCAGAGTCATTACATGGAGAGCCTTTTCAAGCACTTCAAGGACGACCATTGGCTTTCAGTAAATAATGACAGAAAATTTATCAAAGTAAATCAGGTAATGGACTAGGAGAGAATTTAGAATTCCCTTTTAAAGGGAACTTAACTAGGGAGGTATCCCATTTAGTTGACATCAACAGTCTCATACAGGCAAGAAAGAAAGAACAGATGAGAAGTACACAATGACTATACAAGCAGCCAAGTTCTCTGTTAAAATGAAAAAAGTCCAACTATTTTAGAGGGAGCCAATAGAAATGCAAGTCCTGAGGCATGCAGTGTAAAAATCTAAGCTGAAGGAGGTTTGACATAACATGAAGGAAACTTATTTTGGAACACAGTGGTTCATAAACAATGATTCCTGAGACTGAATTTGATGGCTGAGATGGGACAAAATTTGGAGCAGCAGTCCAAATGGGTATCAGGAGAACGTTACAGCCAACGAAACCATGTCTCTGTCTGGACAGGCAATGAGATAAACTCATTCTGCCATACAGCCTTGAAGTTCTGTGGCCTCTATCTTTTCAGTCTTTGTCATATGCTGGGAACTGTAGAAGCCTTGTTCACACCATGAATCTGACCAAAAGATGAAGTTAAAATGGTATCAGTGAAGAATATTTTTAATTTACAGAAGAGCTTTAGTGGAACCAAGATATTTTTATTTATATTGTATAAAAATAAACTGCAATAAATCAATTGTCAAACGGAAAAGGATAACGCTGCTACACATTCTCCAGTCTACTTCACTGAAATAAGAGACTTAAGAATGGAGTCCACTGAATGTCTTACAGCCTTCTCAATGTTCTCAGTGAGCATCTCAGACCATTAACTTCAGGCATCATTAAATGAGAACTGCAACTTACTCAAAGTTGTGAAATAAAAAAGTATAAACCCCCTGAAGCTTCTGAGAAATACTAAGCTACTATTCTATTCCTTGGTATTGTTAAACAATAATATCATTAAACAACAATTAGAGAAAAAATGAAAAGGCTATTTAGAAGACTTCAGTTGTAGCATTAAGAGTAAATTGTGGGGAATAATAACTGAGACCCTAGAAAGGCTGTATACTAATATTTAGACAAAACATATGCATAACAGAAAGTGTTTTGGAATTTGAACACAAAGCAGTGTTTTTTCTGTGTAGACCTTCACATGTTATAAGCTTTGCCTTAATGAGATTTTTTCATATATTCACTAAATCATAGAATTGTTTAGGTTGGAAAACAATTCTATGATTTAGTGAATATAAGATCGAGTCCAATAGTTAACTGCTCATTAAACAGCAATATTGTGTGTAAGAATAATTCTGTAAGGAAAATGTTTACTTGATTGAATATGTTCGTCTGGATATATGATGTGGGATCAGTGCATGTTCATGCAAATTCCTCTATCAGTATTTTAACTGTATTAGCACTGACTCATTACTTTCTGCGTGATCTTGCCACACTTGCACTATCTGCATAATCTATGCATTATTTACTGTCTCACTTATGAGTATTTGTTATTTTGCCCAAATTTTTTAACTATGAAATAGTAAAGAAAATGCCTAAAACCCCATAAAAATCCTTGAAAGCAATCAAGGACACTATTCTTTAAAAAACTGCCACTTTTAACGTCCTTCTTGGCACAACGCTTTACCTGCCCAGGTGAATCCAACTGACCCACCTGAGCAAATAGTGTCCCTACCAAATCTAGATGCATGTGGCAATAATGCTGGAGCACAGTATTCAATTTACTTTCTTCCATGGGAATTCATTACACTTCTTAATTATATTTTTCACTAGTTTCTCAAAGTCAGGCTGAAAGATTTATACTAACAAAAATATTCTGTGGAGGAAAAGGTAAATTATAGGGAGGTTTTTGCATTCAAAGACGGTAAGATGTATCTTTACACAGCATCTCAATTTAGGGGAAAAAAAAGAGGTACAGAAGCTATTTTAAATTCTTTAAATGAAGTTAAATGCAAGGGAGTGAAATCACAACACATTAGCAACTGATTCATTTATTTACGAAAAATAATTATATAAAGTCTTGAAAAAATGAAACATTCATATCAAATGACTAATAGCTAAAAAAATACAATTTTATAACAGAAAGAGTACCTTCAATCAACAGCTCTTGTCCATGACTGCCCAGCAATGTTCGGGATAGAAAAGGGGCAAAGTCAACAAAAATTTCTCGCAGGAGAGGGGCCACCTTTTCTAAAGCTCTTTCAAGCTTTGCAGTGATACTGTGGAAAAACAGAGACCACGTTTGGAAGAACATTTAACAATAGAAATTATGTCAAATCATACCTGGTTTCAAATGTTGCTGTAAGCTTCTTTAGAAAAGAGGATGATCATAATTTGATTAAACTTTACAGTGTTTAAAGGGCTTTAAGTAAATGCAAATGTCATGTCAGAGTCAGCAGTGTGTCAGCCTCATAAATTCTACAGCATTACAGAGTACTCCAGAACAAATAACATTTTTATTCTCATTTTCAAACATGATAAGGAGAATGGCACTTATTCAAGTGTAAGTCTATTTCACCTACCTCAGCTTATATATTGTTATTTTACATATATTTGAAAGCTTGAAAAGGCAATCACAAGTAACTTGCTTTTTCCTTTGAGCTTTCAGATAACAATATTTGGCATTGCAACACTAGACAAGGGAGCGTATGAGGAAGCCTTCTAGCACAGGTATCAAGAAAACCAATATTCTTCAACTTTGAGGGAACACAATCCCACTTTCCCTTTGCATTTATACTTCTCTGCCTGCTGGGGCTACATGGTCTTTGAGGCATTAAGATTCCTTAATTTCTACTTGTACAGTGAGAAGAGGGGTTGTGAGTTCTGTTTGCTTTTTAAATACCAGAAATAATATTCCTTTGTGTAAGGATAGAAACCTAGCAATAGTATGCCAACAACAGCCGTGTGCTAAGGATTGTACTTTTAAAACTTGTCAGTGCACAACAATTACGTCCTGTGAAACTCTTATGGCAAGGTTAAAAATCTGTGTTAATCTCAGAGAAGTGAATTATTACTTTAAAATAGAAATGAAATTATACACATATTCTAGTCTACCAAGGTTTTCTGCTGTTCTTTATCAGAATGCTGGTGGCTGAAATGAAAACCACTGCTGCTTGAATATTATTGGCATTTAAAAGAGCACTTATAAGAAGTTACATTTATTGACAGAATATAAGGGAATAAGCACCGATATTTTAATTTTATACTGTATCTACTATCTCTAAATGCTAAATAGATGTGGACTCTTTAACCTAGATCATATGAAGATCTTTACATTTAAAAAGAAAGCTGATGTTCTAAATAAATTGGAAGGTTTTCTTCATTATCTTAAAATTGTTTTACTGAATTCCTATAGCTTATTTTCTTTCAGTGTACTGCTTTCCCAGGCACAAATATAAACTGGGTTCAGAGTGGGTTGAGAGTAGCCCTGAAGAGAAGGACTTGGGGTGTTGATAGATGAGAAGCTCAACATGAGCCGGCAGTGTGCTCATGCAGCCCAGAAGGCCAGTCGTGTCCTGGGATTTATCAAGAGAAGCGTGGTCAGCAGGTCAAGAGAGGTGATTCTCCCCCTATACTCTGCTTTTGTGAGACCCCACCTCTAATACTGCATCCAGTTCTGGTGTTCCCACCATAAGAGGGACATAGATCTGTTGGAGCGTGTTCAGAGGAGGGCCACAAAGATGATCCAGGGGCTGGAGCACCTCTGCTATGAGGACCGGCTGAGGGAGCTTGGATTGTCCAGCCTGAAGAAGAGAAGACTCCAGGTGGACCTTATAACTGCCTTCCAATACCTGAAGGGAACCTACAGGAAGGCTGTGAAGGGACTTTTTACATGAGAGTCCAGTGACAGGAGAAGGGGAAATGGATTTAAGTTGAACGAGAATAGGGTTAGAATGGATCTTCGGAAGAAATTCTTCAGTACAAGGGTGGTGAGACTCTGGACTAGATTGTCCAGAGAGGTTGTGGATGCCTGCTACCTGGAGGGGTTCAAGGCCAGGTTGGATGAGGCCTTGAGCAACCTGGTCTAGTTAAGGGCATCCCTGCCCATGGCAGGAGGTTGTATTAGATGATCTCTAAGGTGTCTTCCAACCTAAGACATTCCATGATTTCCCATTTCAAATTCAGATACTGACTTTTTAATATCCTAAAGGATGATTTCATATCATCAGCCTTTGTTTTAGATGATCAGTTTAAGTGAATTTCACTATGTTAAAGCCTGTATTGGCTGTACTTGAAAAGCAGGCAACTAGCTAGTTAATCTAGTCCAAGATTTTGCTGCTAGAGTTAAAAAGTATACTAGATTAACTTAGACTTCTCTAAACCATGTTTTAAAATATGCTTGCACTGTATATTGGCTTAAATAATTTTAGAGTTCATTTAACTATGAAAACGAGACTACAACTGAAAAAAAATCAAGTTCAAAAGTTTTTAAATTAATATTACTGTTTATTTAAGAATCTAGTAATATGGGAGGGGTAGATATGCTATTAATTAACACCCTGGACGAGCTATTAATAAACACCTTGTTATTAAATGAATAGCTGATGGATAATCTATATTACAGATCTATTTATGGGCAACTGAGAATAGTATTCTTTGAAAATGTGAGAATAAAGATCAGCACTCTTTAAAAATGCATTTCAAAGGAGAGAAATTACTATTTAAAGAGAGAAAAAAGAAAAAAACAATATTTTTTAGTTCATGTAAATCCCTGGTGCATTTACATCTTGGAAACTGACCGGAGTTCTGATCCTTCAGTTTCCAAAGAAAAAACAGAATTAAGAAATAAAGCATACATAGAGACACCCAAAAAAACACTCTAGGGAAGCAGGTAGCCCATCTGCTGCCTCTCCTGTCTACACACATGCACACAGAGCAGCAAAACACATGGATCAATCTGATTCTGCCACTGATTCTAACATCTATTATACCTTATGATGCATCCTGCAATCATAAGCAACTCCTTGTGGGAGTTAAAACCATACCCTGAAGTGGGCAGCCAACTCAGGGGCACATGGCAACTCCTTCGCCTACCTCGTGTCAGCTTTTTAGGGCAAAGAGGTGTGCACCTCGAATTTATCTCTGAAGTGAGCTGTGGCACAAGTGAACGCCGTTTCAGAATAATAATCTATTATAAAAAGATATTTAACAGGAATTTCAGAGGGTATTTTCATGGCTGCCAGTCAGTGCGAGAGTGATATTGGCTATCTCATGGCATGTATCTCTGCAACACCAACTCAGATGTGGTGCACCATTTATTTAGCTGCACAAATATATGTCTGCTTTTTTCCTCTCCAATTTAAATAGGATGCTTGTTTGCTCAGAAGATGTTGTGTCTCTCTTTCCACTTGCTAGTGCTCCATTGCCAAGTTGTGCTTACATTCCAACTCCATCATTACTGAGCAATATAAAAGGCCAGTCACATTAATACTACACTATATTATATAATTACAATAATGCATATTAAATGAGCTAAATATAATTTAATTTTTGTATGCATGAAGTTGTAGGAGGAGAAATTATAATTAATATGAAAAGATAGAACTTGTGTACCTCATGTTTTCAGCTGAATCCTCGGGCATTGGAGCAACAGTTTGGACAGCTGGGAGATTTTTGCTGGTAGCACCATTCACAAAGCTGGATGATGAAGAGGAAGAAGAAGATCCTGAGTCTACTGCACCTGTACCCCAAAAAATACAGGTCTTAATTCAGTCAGAAGAAACATAATTTTTAGAGACTTTTAATATAGCCCCTGTCTTATTCATCTACTTTTAAGTAAGAAAATAATGCTATTTATTCTAAAATAATTAAACTATTCCATATGATTGTCATATAAATTAACATCATATTTTGCTAATATAACAGTAATAAGTTTAAAAAGCTATTGAAAATCAGGCAAAATAAATCCTTACCTCATTTTCATTATTCCCAAATTACATTCCAAAGATGAAAATATTTTTACATCATCCTGTAAAGCTTTCTAAAATAAAGGTATATTTAAGATGAGCTTGAGTGGAGAATAGAAGTTTAACTTTTTTTTTTTTTTAATATATATGCACCCACTTCTTGGCTGCCCAGTTGCAACTACAGGCAGAAAATAAAATACAAATTAAAAAATGACAGAGAAGATAGAAAATGTATATTCCTTCAGGAAGTAATGGGGGAAGCTAGTGTCTGAAGAGTATTAAGACTCTAATTATGTTTTTTTTCTGTTTCCTTCCTCATGTCAAAGAGAATTTGAAGATCTCAGAAGCAGGGAGGGCAGTGGGGGTGTGTAATTTCAATGGGTTGTGAACAGCTGCCCAGAAAAAAGATGCAGACAGAGCATACATTTATACTTTAAGTGATCTGGGTCAGAGCTAAGGGCTAAACTTAGACTCTAAATGCCAATCCATCATGTTTGCTGAAACGTTCAGCCTCGCTGAAGCAAACCAGCGAAGGCTCAGAGTGGAGAGAGCCCTGTGATAAATGCTGCCCCTGTTCTGCTGCACAGTCCTCCTGCGACACGTCGCTGCCCAGAGAGGTAGCGATGACCGACCTCGTGTAGCCAGAGCTCAGAGCCTGAGGGACTGCAACGCTACCAGAGACGAAGGGGATGGGCAAGGTTTATCCAAGTTAGCAACGAGGGGCAGAGAACCCCAGTTCAAAGCATTATTCTGCTTATTTTCTTAAATTACAGCCTGTAACTCCCTTCTGCTGGTGAGTTTTAGCAGTTGATATATCACTGTCCTTTGCTTTACACAGGTATATATTATTTTTTCAGTTTCCTGCAAAGCTCTACAAAGTGTTTATGGTTTCTTAACTGCTTAAGCATCCAGCTGATAGTGAAGTAGAAGTCAAATGCTAATAATGGTGACAAATTCTCCGGCAGAAGGGAATTGGTTTGTCTATTTATTTATTTGCCCTTATATATTTTTTACTGATTAAAGAATTAAGGTAAAGACCAGAATTTTGACTGACTCATTTAAGAAAATTTGCATTCAAAACAGTATCAAAATGCAGCAGGATTTGCTGGGCTTGCTGACACTAGACTATCTTGTGAGGCTCAGGATTTAGACTAGGAAGTGATTTATTCTGCTCTTTTAATAACGTGAATGGGAGGTAGATTGTGGCTGACATTGCAGGTTCTGACTTGAACTAAATCCAAACTCTTAAGTGCACCCAAACACACTGAGAAAGAAACAGAAAAACAGAAGGTAGCTATCGCTCCCAACCTAGGAATTGCAGCAACCTAGTTGGGAATAGGTAGCTTAAAAACCCCCTTCATATATGCGTAGATGTGTGTGCATGGGTATTTATGTTCTTTATATATTTATATTCTTTATATATTTATATTCATACATAGGTAACATATATTTTTATTGCTTCCTCCCTTCTCCTTACAAAGTCAAATTTTCTTCATTAAGGTTGTTGTCTAAAAATGCAGTAGCTAAGTTGTTTATGATCAAACAGACCTACAACTACCACATTAATAAAGAAGTGAGAATCAGTACATGAATTACAGAAAAACCTATAAAACCAATTTCTTACATAAAGAGATGAAGGAAGAAAACTATCTCCCAAAAGATACATTCAAAGCTCTAAAGAGACTTCAATAACATATATCTCATTACATTGTGACAGTGACATTGACGGCGACAGTGATGGAAGACGGAATGAAAACACAGACTGCAATCCATGAATAACTGAAAAAAAACCACCTTTTGCCCAAGTCAAAGATAAAACTGTATTTCTAGAGTATCTGTGACATAATGTAAAAGCAACCGTAAATAGGTTTGGAGGGACATCTAGTGTTTCTAAAAAAAAAAAAGTGCTGTACAATGAAATTCTACACACTACTTCAAAATCATTAATAACATAGATAATCCCACAGACTGCAAGCATATAAACCAGAAAGCATCTGGATACTTCATCTCTATATCTCAAAGCCTGACATATATGATCACTGTTTTAACTCCTGTAGGCACAGCTTCATTAAAATTGGCAAAATGAGCATTATAATCCAATAGATATGTATGTGTTTGCAATGTGATATGAGGGTTTCTTTAACCATTGTTAATGTGTTTAGCATTTCTGAAATGTTGACATAAAATTCAAATATTTAAAAAAAGCTTGGAAGGGAAGGAATTTTCAAGCTATTGCTTAAAAGAATTCATCAATAAAGCTCATTCAGATGAATTCAGGCATAAAAGGCTTTAATAAAGAAGTTCAGTACACATATAGCCCTAATTAAATCTGATACTTGCTCAAATTCAATTGAATCAATACTTTTACTTTCATCAAGCTTATCCACAGACTAGGAGACAAATAGAGTCGTATTTTAAAAAAAAAAAAAAAAGCTGTATAATCTACCAAAAAACTCCAGCCTTTAATCCACAGTGAATATACCATGGTATCTGCAATACTGTCCTAAGAGCAGGATTGGGGAAATGACTGATTTTTAAATGCAGTTACTTACAATGAAGAGCTACTACATTCCAGCCAAAACAGTTGAGATATTTAATCAGTGAGAAAACTGAAAAGCTTACGCTATTCATTATCATTTGGAAAACAAGGTTTCCAATGCAGGTTACTTTTTGCATGACATAGCAGTACCTAAAAGGAAATCCATTCAAGGTTAACAGAAATGGCTACACAAATGGAACTGTTCATAAACATTATTCAAAGCATTCATTCCTCTCATCTGCCTCAGGATAATTAGATTTTACGATTTTTTGTTATCCTTTGAAAAATCAAAGTTCTATTACCAGATATTAAAGGTAATCTGTAAAAGGAAAGAAAAAAAAAATGAGTGTGCTTCACATTATTTCATGAAGCAGAAGGATGCGAAAAGCTTCCCCTTCCATTTTTGGTAACCCCAGGGAGATTTTCACTTTCTTAACCCTTGACTGAAGTTGTGATATCCTTGAAGAGAGCTCTTTTCTCAAGTGCTTTTGCTTAGTTTAGAAAGAAAACAGACCACAGCCAGACATTTCAAAAGAGTTTAAGTAAACATCAGTTGCTCTCAGTAAGGACTCATTTCTGAATGGAAACCACAGTCTCTATGGTCAAAAGGCTCCTTCATGACAGACAATCCCTTTATCGCTATTATAAATAACCAAAATGAGAAGGCCTTGTCCTCATTCTGTAGGTCACAGTAAATGATTACTGATAAGATATGACTGGAGTTAAATCAGGGAGGTTCTTACCGAAAAACCTTCAAAAAATCAGAATATAATTTTCATTGACAAATAGTTATTGCCCAAAATATTAACTATCCACAATCCACAAGCTACTTACTAAGTGGCTAGATGTCTTTACTTTCTTTGACACATAAAGTATATATCATACAAACATCTGCAGATGCAGAGCAGTGGAGAAGCTAGCTCATTTCAGTTCTAAACTACACTTATAAAAGAGCACTAAGGCTTTTTATTTACTTTTCTAAGGCTGTGCACATCCAGCATGCAATATTATAAATGTACACCAGGAGAAAACACAGTCTCTAATAAAGGCCAATTAATCTTTCCACATTTTTATTTTAGGACAGAAACAGCAACAAAAAAGATGATAAAAAACCAAAACACTGCTAAAAGTAACAAAACAAACAACAAACAAGAAAAAATGAGGGTCACAAAAATATTTAAGGACAATACCTGTTGTATTAATCATACTTTTTGGTGTAGCTCCTGTTGCAGCAAATATATTAGGTGTACTACCCGGTGGCAGTCCACTCCCAGCCGTGGCAGCTCCAACGGTGGTCACAGCCAGACTACCTGGAGGGGGTTTCTTTACTGGTACAACCACACTCCTGTGGACAAAGAAACAGCAGGTTACTAAAACTGCACAACGGAGTCACCAAGAATTTTTTATGGTGGGATAAGCTGTTTTGTAACACCGTTGCTGAGAAACATATAATAATGTCAATTTTTTTAACCTATCTGAAATAGGCTAAGTCTATGTTAATGGACCCTAAACTCACATTCCTATCTTTTTCCTGCAGTTTCATGTGATTCTGAGAAACTTGTCTCTCAGCACCCAAAAAACGGAAAGACCTCACCACTTCATTGATACGTTGTGAATATCACTATCACCTGTACTCTAGATTGGTAAAGAAAATTTTTAAGTGTTGGACACAAAGGAGACATACCAGCAATCTATATGCGTGCAGTCATGATGAGCATGTTCATTTGTTGATCTTTCTGAAGTTACCTAAGATTCACTTCAGGTTCACTCTCTACAACTACCTGAAAGGAGGTTGCAGTAAGGTGGGTGTTGGTCTCTTGTCCCATGTAACAAGTGATAGGACAAGAGGAAACAGCCTCAAGTTGAACCAAGGGACATTTAGATTGGACATCAAGAAGAATTTCTTTACTGAAAAGGCAGTTGAGCATTGGAGCAGGTTTCCTAGGGAACCGGTTGAATCGCCATCCCTGGAGGTGTTTAAAAGACATATAGATGTGGTGCTCAAGGACATGGTTTAGTGGTGGAGCTGGCAATTCTCCGTTAATGGTTGGACTTGATGTTCTCAAAGGTCTTTTCCAACTTAAACAATTCTATGATTTTAAGATGACTTTTTTTTTTTGCCAATCATCTGAACATTTGAACACTGTAATTGATTCTTCAATATCATGCACATACTGATCTTGCAAATAGATTTGGCTAAGAAACATGACTTTGCACTCAGTTTTCTGGAAAACTTTCAAGGTCATTTAAATCAACAGCACATGATGTAAATTGAACACCTAAAATGCAATACAGTAAATATTTGCTTTTGCAATATTGCTATCATGTCCATTTAATAATAAGGTTTAAAAAGCAGTCTTGAGAATTTAAAGTTTTTAAGAAGACAACAGGGCCTCTATACAAAAAACCTGACATATCATATGTAGAGAGATAACATTGCATTCAAACACATTCTCATCTAATCTTAAACTACTTTATTATTCAAATCTCAAAAGACTCGCTCTACATGTTAAAAAAGAAGAAGGAGGAAAGTATTACACAGACATTTAATATTTTTTCAACAGCGGACATCGGTCAGAGTGCAAGACAACTACATTTACATTTTTCCATTTTAAAAAACTGCTCCTAAAAAGTTTATTTCAGTAGAAAAACTGAGCGAAAACCAATCCTGAAACAAACCATATTTGTAAATGTTAAAAAACATATTTTCATCATCATATACATGTTTTCTGGTTAAACAGATATGCTTTTCCTCAAAACTAATAATTGTTACCAAATAAAGGCAAGAAAATGCAACTATTTTAGGTAATAAGGCCACAATTTCATCTAGAGTCTCCTTTGGTAATTATTTTGTTACAGTTTTGTGTAAATATATGTGCAATACTGGATCAAAAAGTGCAGAACAATTTCTGATAGCAGTGTAGTGTCTCCATATACATCTAAATCCTCAGCCTGCCTGGGTTTTGAAGATTGGCAATGCAAACTTTATTGATGATGCCATTTTGAGAATTATGTATGTACACATATATATGTACGAAACAATCCATAAGCATTTTTTCTCACTCTTTTTAGAGAGGTAACAGTGCCAGTTACATCTCTGCATTCTGAAAAACAGAAAAGCAATTCTAACATATTGACGGATTTCTGTCTCCTTCCATTTACATTAGGAGATTAGTTTGCACAATGCAATAGCTATCGATTAAGACATGTGACTCTAAAATAAGTGCTTTGCCTGTAGTTAATAATCTCTTACAAATGTTGCTGATATGAAGTGTTTACACAGCAGCAGCTACAGGTGAATAAAGCTGTGTCTCCATGAGTTGAATTAATTTGTTCCATAACACCATGAAACTTCCCCAAATTAGCTCCTATCCACACAAAAAAGATCTCTAGCTCAATTATTACTTCGGTTAAACACTTGAGTTCTGGTTGCGCAGGAACGCTGAGGAAGTACTCAATAGCAGAGTCCTTGTAATGTCATAGAAATATAAAGAGAAATTAGGATTCGCATCTTAAGTGGGAGCACCCCTTGATTATATGGATTTCATAAGGAAACTACCATCATTACCTACAGTACCTTTGGGGAGAGCTGCAAGAGAAAGGCTAAGATTAGTGTGAATGAAAACAGGACTACTTGGTTGCTGACGCACAAGCAGAGACACTGCAGAAAATGGCATCTTAGACAGGACTAAGCTAATGGCACAGAGATTATCGGGTCATCAGGACCACAGATGTGTGCAGTTTCACAAGATGACCAGACCTTGGAGACAGAAACAGTGATGACTCAAACAGGTGGAAGAGGACAGAGAGAATGTTGGTAACTCCATAAGGGTAGAAAAGGGCATATCCAAAGACTGAAAACAGTTGCCAACCTATGAAGAACCCAAGAGATGTAAGGAAGACTTAGCAGCTGGCATCCCAGGCTCTCCATGTCATTGCAGTTGATTCTGGACCTAGCATCTGGACACAAGTATGGGGAGTGCCTAACTGCTGGACAGATTCTTTAAACATACATCCATTCTAGTGTCTGCAAATGTGAGACGGAGTGTGAGTGAGTGAGATTTAAGTGAGTGAGTGGGTTTTAAGTAAATTATTTTTCCCCTCCTATGAAGTATGGGGAGTGCCTAACTGCTGGACAGATTCTTTAAACATACATCCATTCTAGTGTCTGCAAATGTGAGACGGAGTGTGAGTGAGTGAGATTTATTCATTTCCTATGAAATCTGGTATTGACATCTCCTAAATTACTGATACAATTGCTGCAAAAGTATTTTATATTTTCCGGCTACCCTTCCAAAGAAGAAGCAGCTAAATTCAAGGTCTTCCGCCTTATCTTCTGACAGCTCAGTGGTCTTTCAGAGACTGAAGAAGATCACCTAACTTTCCACAGAAAAGACTACATATGTCAACTTCACTCCTCAAATAGAATAATTTGTGTTGGAAACAGAATAGTTTGTGTTGGAAGGGACCCTTAAAGGTCATCTAGTCCAACCACTAAAGTACTGACCTCCCATAAAGGCAACAACTCTTTTCTTAGGAGTGCAGTGTAAAAATCAGTTCCCATACCAAGAAAGAACAATCCTGCCCAGATTAAAGAAGTGCTAATGCTCTACATATGGTTGGCATTCTTTTGTAAGTCTGAATGAGGGCATTAACACAGGTTAGTTATTAAATTACAAATTATCAAGAAACATCAACAGAATCCTCTCAACCATAAGGACAGGCAAAATCACTGAGACATTATCATCCCAGACTGAAAGAAAATGCAGCTTTCTGATATGTCATACATGGTGACCTTGTCAAAATGTCTCATTTCTACTGATAAAACAAAATGCAGTGAGTGCATACAGAATGACATCCAGATCAAGAGACTGAAAAACTCTACGAACTATACGAACAACACAACAGAGCAGTCAAAAACGTGCAAAACAGAGGAATAGTGGAACAAGAAAGCTGAAAGAGGATGACTGATTACTTTCAAGCAAAAAATCAGCTGATCTTAACCAATTAAATAACTCCAACAGCAGATACAGTGAAAAAAGACAAAACAAAACTAATCAGAGCATAGTATGAATGGAAGAAATAATTTAGATAGATGATAGGTGCTAGATGTATCTGTCAGGCATTCAGTTACTTCTTTCAGGAAGGAACAGAAATATACAGACTAGACAAAAAGTTTATATACACACCCATAATTTCATTTTATGCCTTGTTTTATACAACATATTTCACACTTCCTTAATGTCCCAAACTGGTCCACATCACGGTCTCAGATGATCCCCTATGATTTAGTCAGCAAAAGCTTAGCAGTAATTTGCTATAGCAACTGATTTTATTTCTCTGCTCACTGAGTGGTTTACAATTCTAAAAAGGATTGTGACTACTAATCACTATTCTGTTACTCTACAAGTGTGGTTTTCAAATGGTAAACCTAAGCCTGAAGTCATGGTAATTCGTATCATGCTTAAGATGCATGTTGTTGGTTTAACTTGCATACCACTTGTGCATTGCAGGTTCATTAAATAACCTGAGCAAATAGGTACAGGATTCTTCTGGGTTTTAGAAATTTGCATGAAATAGCTAGATAGAAAATAATACTATCAACATGTTAAACTGCAAAAAGAGAAAATGGAATTGAAAAATTCTCAAATTAACAAGAAGGTTAGCTACCCAGTCCTGGTGCCAGACAAATCAGGTTCTGCAGCACTACAGTTTCTCTCTCTGTGATCCATATTCTGTATCTCTTTTCCATTTTAAAATTTAAAAGCCTTCCAACCTAATCACCCTGATCAATCAAGAGGTCAGAGATAAGCCTCTGATACTGGATGTCTTATGCTACCTGCCTGAGCAGCAGCAATTAAATTAGAACCACTTTATGCTCTTCTGGGATATGTGAAACCTCTTAAGGATGAATTAATATTCTTGCTCCTCCTTTCTACATCCATAGCAGTAGAAAGCAAGAGGATTTTCAAGAATTTTTTACAGAAGTGTGAAATAGCAACTTCTGCCAGATGTTTCAGAATTATTCATATTCATAACTTTCAGAAGTTATTCATATTCTCCCTACCTATGAGCATGTCCAGTCCTTTATGAAACATGCATATTGCTGATTACCCACTGTTCTTCCTGATTTCAGGTCTAGATTGTGATTTGTGTAACAAGTGATTGCTAGCACGTACGAACAACATATTTTGAATCCTACTTTAGACAACCTTCCATTAGGCTGACTATACTAAGACAATATTCATCCAAACTCAAGAAGGAAAGACATAACTCAGAGTCAACAGCCATGGAGGAGAAAAACTGGATTTGAAAAATGTGATGTATACTGAAGACATATGGAAG